GTCACGATTTCGGCACCGACCAACGATTCGGCACTGCCGTCACCGATGCCGCTGAAGCCGCAGCGTCCACCATGCTTTGACCCGAGTCAATGGGGTGGTCCTACCGTTCAGGCGTGGTTGTTCACGTTGAACGTTTTCTTCGACGCCAACTATGTCTCGGAGGATACGGCGAAGATTCGCTATGCCGTGTCGCTGCTGCGAGGACCCGCCATGGACTAGTGGTGCGTCATCGTCACAAAGCCGATGAACTACGCGACTCTACCGACACGGGAAGGACAAACCGGACCCTGGACACCGTCGTATTTCGTGGAGGTGCCCCAATATCGCACGTGGGACGCATGGTGCGTGGGTCTGCGCGCTCGATTTGAGCCAATCGCGGCTTCGATCGCGGCGCGTCAGAAGCTCCGCACTTGGCGCCAACTCGGTTCCGTCCAGGACTACACCAGCGGGTTTCTGGAATTGTGCGAGCAGGTGGGCCACATGCACGAATCTGAGCGTATCGACCGCTACATCGGCGGCCTGAAGCATGACATCGCTCAGGAAATCCAACTCCGCGGCGTCACTGATTTTCAAGAGAGATTCTCGCCAAGGCGGAGAAGCTCGACTTTTTCCGCCGACCGAGACCGGGGTCCTACGGAAGCAACAACAACTGGGGACATCGATCTTGTGGGACGAACGAGGGCGCTACGATACGTGCCGTCGCCGCGAATGCCGCTGCCGCACCGTTCAAAGGGCGCTGCTTCGCGTGCAATCGGCCGGGACACCATAAGAGCGAAGACCTTGAAAACGCTAAGGGAAAGGGGGAAGCTGAGCAGCAGAAACAGACCAAGCAGCAGGGAAACGCTGGGAGTCAGTAGCAGACGGGCCCTCTACTGACAGGTCATGCCGCTCGCCCGACCCAACCGACCCTCACCGAGTGATTGTGCCGGTTCACGCAATCGACCACACCCAGCCGAATAAGGAGGGTACTACGGTAGATAGCCCCATACTGCTTAGTGGGGAAATTGGGACAGACTTAGTTAAAATATTCGTAGACGGGGGAGCCAGCCACAGCCTGATCAATACCTCCACAGCACGGAAACTAAGACTGACACTGGACAGATGTTTACCTGAGATAGACGCAAGACTGGTTGACGGCACGCCACTGGCGATACGGGAACGCGTAGACCGGGTTCGGATTCGATGTGGGGGTAACTTCACGTTTAGCCAGGAAATGCTCGCGACAACCTTCGACGGAACCGACATTTTACTCGGTCGTGATTGGCTGCGACGTCACAATCCGCGAATCGACTGGACGACGGGTGACTGCACCGTGCGAGTGAACGGTAACAGCATCGCCTTACCTCCCTGGGGCTCGCCTCAGTCTTCGTCAGTGCGTGTCAACGCAATCACAATGAAACGCGCCGTAGCAGGAGGAGCTGACGTGTACGCGGTCGACATTCGGGAAGCCGAGGCAGCAGACAAAGGGGGGGATTTACAGAAACTGCTAGCTGACGTACTGGATGACTTGGCAGCGCTACTAAAGCAGTACAGTGGGATTCTCCCGTCTGACCTGCCGACAAGACAGCCACCTCAGCGACCGCACGACCACGAGATAGAACTAGAACCGGGGGCACAGCCGACAGTACAGTGACAGTTCCGACCGACCCAACCCGAACTGGACGAAATGAGGAAGCAGCTGGATTACCTGCTCGAGAAGGATTTTTTTCGCCCGAGTTCGTCACCCTTCGCAGCACCGACGAGCTGATCGACCAACTGCGAACAGCCCGGGTTTTCTCGAAAATCGACCTTCGGGGAGGCTACCATCAGATCCGAGTCAACCCACCCGACTGCCCGAAAACAGCTTTCCGAACATGATACGGATCCTTCGAATACACCTTCATGCCCTTCGGACTGACCAACGCCCCCGCCACTTTTCAAATGACCATGAACGAAGCCTTCCACCCGCTTTTAGATAAGTGCGTCATCGTATATCTCGACGACATACTGATTTACAGCACCGACAGAGCACAGCACCTACAGGACATCGAAGCAGATTTTAAAATACTGAGTGAGAACCACCTACTGACAAAAGCATCTAAGTGTGAGTTTTTACAGGACAGACTGGAGTTTTTGGGACACATTATTTCAGCTGAAGGGGTGGAAATAGACCCGAAGAAGATCGCGACGATTCAAGCGTGGCACGCGCCGACCAATCTGACCGAGTTGCAGAGCTTTTTGGGGTTTGTCAACTACGTGCGCCGGTTCGTCCCCGACATGGCGAAGTTGACTGCTTCGTTGACCGACCTGCTGAGGAAGGGGGTTGAGTACACGTGGGGGGAGAAAGAACAAGCTGCCTTCTCGGCCCTCAAACAAATTTTGTGCTCGCCGCCCATACTTCACATCGCATATCCGCACCGTCCATTCGAGCTCGTCACCGACGCTAGCGACATTGCCGTGGGAGCAGTACTGTTGCAGGATTTCGGGAACGGCCTCCAGCCAATCGCGTACGAGTCCCGCAAGCTTCGCCCGAACGCAACTACCCGATACATGACCGCGAGATGCTGGCGATCGTGCACGCGTTCAAGGTGTGGCGATGTTACTTCACGGGAGCAGACGTGATAGTACGGACAAACCACCAATCACTACAGTACCTTCGCGCCCAACCGAATCTCAACCCGCGACAGATCCGCTGGCTGGACTATCTGGAGTCCAACTTCCACTATACAGTAACGTACAAGAAAGGCGCATCAAATATCGCCGACGCACTCACACGCCCCACCGCCCAACTCCACGCCATCCTACTCGCCCAAACCAACTCACTGTTAACAAGCCTATTCACCAACGGATACAGTACCGACCCACTCTTCACGACCGGAAATTCGCAGCAATTGGCAGAAGATAAAGGAGTCTATTAAGTAAAAACAGGCACCAACCGCATCTGGGTACCCGCGTACTCACTACTGAGGGAACTCCTACTGCAAGAGGCACACGACGGAATTACCTCGGGACATTTTGGGGTAGAAAAAACGCGACAGCAACTGCAGCGGTACTACTACTGGCCGGAGCTGTTGACCGACGTACAGCACCACGTGGGCTCGTGTCCTACGTGTCAGGGGATGAAGAGCTCGCGCAAAAAAAAAATGCGGGTCAATTGCAGTCGATTCCACCGCCCGAGCGCGCCTGGCAGCAGGTTACCATGGATTTCGTCACGGGGTTACCTTCGAACCCTGGGGGTAACGACGCGGTTATGGTCGTCGTTGACAGACTGACAAAAATGGCTCACTTCGCTGCGTGCAAGAAATCGATCTCAGCCGAAGAAACCGCTCGCCTGTTCATCGCAGCCGTCGTTCGACTACACGGGATACCAGCCGCGATAATCAGCGACCGCGACACGAAGTTCACCAGCAACTTCTGGAAGAACCTTTGGGAGCAGTTCGGGACCAGGCTACAGTTCGGGACCAGGCTACAGTTCAGCTCATCATACCACCCCGAGACCGACGGTCAAACAGAGCGGACCAATCAGACGATGGAGCAGTTGATTCGGGCCACGTGCGACGACCCGACAACTTGGTAGCAGCAGCTGCCACTGATCGAGTTCGCCTACAACAACGGCACGTCAGCGACGACGTAGCAGTCCACGTTCTACCTGAACTACGGGCAAAACCCTACAGTGCCCATGACGCCGAGTCCGGACAACCCAACGCCACGTGCACAGCAATTCGCCGAGATTCTGCAAGCTGCCCGCACCAGATCCGCCGAAACAATAAAAAAAGCCAATGTCATCGCTAAACGAACGCTGACCGCCACCACCGCCCAGTCACGTACCAGTCAGGAGATTACGTACTGCTCGACACACAGAACTTAAGACTGTCCGTCGTGCCAAAATTACGTCCGCGCTACTGTGGACCCTTCCAAATCAGCCACATGATCACCCCAGTGACAGCACACTTACTGTTGCCGACAGACTGGTACATCAACCCATCATTCCACGTCAGCCTGCTTCGCCCCTACATCCCAACCACGAGCCAGTTGCCTCGTCACCGCCGGCCATCCATGACTCGCCCTTCATCAGAACCGATAATCGAGCCCGAAAAAATTCTGAGCCACCGGATTCGACACCCTACGGGAATCAGGAGGATCGAGTTCCTCGTTCGCTGGAAGGACCGCACGCCAACTGAGGATAGCTGGGTGCCCCTGGCCAACATTGAAAACCACCCTGCCCTGCACGTGTACCTGAGGAGCCGGGGTTTCCGCGATATACACGCACTCGCGTAGCGGAGGGGTTTCTTGAGGGGGGGGGGGGGTAGTGTAAGGAATTTTCTCGACATTCCTTACCGCAACCTACAACATCGCGTACGGCAGCAGCTGTTGTTCGCCCGTTACTGCTAACGGGGCTTCGCCAACTTCACGCGCAAATGTTTCACCAAACCTCGCACTACTGGAGCAGCCGAGTCGGCCTACGCTTCGGGACTAGCCCGAACCTCGTGCCAGTGTAGCACTAGCTAGCTCGCACGCGCCGCGCTACCGTTTGCATGTTTCGCGTATAAATGTTCGCTCATGCCTTGCTCACATTTTGTACTCGTTTGACACCTTAGTGCAATCCTCGCTACCTAGATTCATTGCACCCGTAACAGTAGTATTGTTTTGAGTTCCAGAATTATAGATAGAAACGAATTCGCTTTGTACAGCTCTCAATATGCTTCTGTTCCTTTGTTCCCATACATCCGTGAACCTTTGTCGTTGCTGGAGGAGCGAATCTTCGCGAACGTACAACCGTTCTCGTCAACTGCAGAAATTGGTTACAGGGATATTGAAGCCGAGACCCCAGGCCCCAGGCCCCACCATTGCACCGTTGCCCTCCCTCACCTCATCATCATCCTCATCCCCATCACTCGGTCGCAATTTTCAAAATTCTTCACCTCAATTCTCCTTCCCTTCGATCATCTGAAACCCTAAACTAGTTCTGTCAGTAACATTCCAGATTTGGTGACAGCGCATCGTCCTTCGCTACAGTCGCCATGGATCGGCGTAGCTATCCGCCCGGTCCGTCTGGCTGGGATCCTAATGTAAGTTTTGTTTTCCGTCATGTGCTCGTAAATGTGAACATGGCTTGTTCTTGGGGGTCAAGTGCTTAGATTGTTCTGCTGAATCACCACGCTGCGTAACCTTTTTTTCGAGTCGCGTTTGATCCTTAGCCTTACGTTTCCACTCATATTCCATCTCCCTCATCCGTTCGTTGATCCTTGGCAAGTCCTCCGCCTTTCATCTTAGTCGTTTTTCGTGGTGATTGATTCCTCTGCAATAGTCCCTCGGCTGTGTTTCCTTTTCTATATCTCCTGCTGGAACCTCCATCCGTTGTCTGTCTCGAGTTTTACGTACCCTTTTTTTTTAACACTCTAATTCTTTTCTCAAGATTCTGCCTCTCCCGCTTCCATAGCTGTTGAATTGTAGGTTGCGTGAGGCCTTCCCTTCGTGCGCTTTTTAGTTCGTTTCCGCCTGATCTACCTTTTCTTCCCTTGCGTGTCCCCTTTTCTCCCATTCCAGGCACCACCTCCCATGGATCAGCGATACAACCAACCCCCGCCGTCTCAGCAGTATCCACCTCCTCAGCAGCATCAGCAGCCGCCGCCGCCGCAGCAGCAACCGCCGCCGCAGCAGCAGCAGTTTCAGCAGCAACCCTCTTATCCTCCATACAGTCAGGGTCTGCCTCAGGTTCCGCCGTACAGCCAGGGTCCGCCTCCCCCTTACGGCGGAGGTCCCCCACCGGCATCTTATAACGAGCCGCCGCAACAGCCTTATAGCGCGCCGCCGCCACAGTACCAGCCTTACGGAGGCGGTGCACCGTACGCCGGCGCGCCTCCCCCGCAGACAAGCTACAGCCCGCACCCACCCGCGTATGGCGGGCCGGCACCTGGTTACCCCCCGCCGCAGCAGCATCAGCAGCCGTCGCCGCATCTCCCGCCGCAACAGCCGCCGGCCGGGTATGCCCCTCCGCCGTGGCAGGCGCAGGGACAGCCGCCAGCTCAGGGGCAGTATCCGCCAGCTCAGCAGATGCCAGGTGGCATGCGTCCTCCTGAGGGGCGACCCGATCCGTCCGCGGCAGCCCCGTGGAAGCAACGTCAGCAGCAGCAGCCGGAGGAGGAGAGGGGGAGAGACAGGGACGAACGTGGCCGCGACCGCGACAGGGACCGGGATAGGGATCGCGATCGCGATCGTGATCGGGATCGGGATCGCGATGGTTCGTCGAAGCCGTCGCTTAATCGCTACCCGCCGCCGCAGAGCTTATACAACGATCCGCTTAAGCCGACTCCAAGCTCGATCTACGAAGACGAGTCGCCGCGCAAATCGAAGCCCAAGGTGGAGATGGTAATGGGAAAGGCGGCCGGTGCGGATGCTAAGACCGGAGCTGCTACTTCCGCTATGTCTCAAATCCTTGCTGCCAGATCCGCCGTTTCTGCGCTTCTCGCGGCGACGAACCCGCAACTGGCGGCGGCGCAGCAGCGCGCCGCGGCAGTCTCCGCCGCGATCACCGGATCGACGGGATCCGGCGGCGCGAGCTCTGCCGCGGCGGCGATTGCGGCGGCCGCTGCGGCGAAGAACCCGCTGCTGGCGAGTAACCCGATTCTTGCGGCGCAGGTCGCGGCTCTTGGCGGTTCAAACGCCGCGTCTGCCGCTGTAACGAAGGCCGCATTACTAGCCGCCGCCGCGAACAGCGCTAAGCTGGGCGCCGTCAACCCCGGGCTCGCAATGGCTTTGGCTATGGCTGCCGCGAAGCAAGCGGAAGCGGCGCGCGCGGAAGGGGTGCCCGCGGAGGGGGACAAGGACACGAAGGCGGAGGACCGCGCGGGGGAGAAGCGCCGGCGCTCCCGCTCCCGCTCCCGGTCGCCGTACTTCCGCCGTCGGGCGAGGGGGAGGTCCCTGTCCCGCTCCCCTCCCCGCCGCCGATCCAGGTCCCCAGTCCGGGAGAGGAAGCCTGGGTCCGCGTCGCCCACGCGCAGGAGCCCGTCGCCCAGGATTCGCAGGCGACGGTCGCGATCGCGGTCGCGGTCGCCCGTGCGACGCAGGCGGGGGAGATCGGCGTCGCGCTCGCGGTCGCCGTACGGGCGGGGGAGGTTCGACGGGTGGCGCGGGCGCGGGAGGGAGAGCAGTCCGGAGCAGCCGACGAGCACGGTGCTCATCCGCGGCATTGCGCCGTGGGCTGTGGAGGCGGATATCTTCGCGCTGCTGGTAAGACCTGCTGCCGCGTATTTATGTGCTGATTTTAAAAGCAGCCGACGAGCACGGTGCTCATCCGTGGCATTGCGCCGTGGGCTGTGGAAGCAGACATCTTCGCGCTGCTGGTAAGATCCTGTGTTTGTAAGAGCCGCTGCTTGTCAGATTCACTGTGTTTTGAGTCGACCCGAAACTCACCTGGAAAGAGGTCAGTCGGGAGCAGTCGACAAGCACGGTGCTCGTCCGAGGCATTACGCCGTGGGCCGTGGAGGCGGATATCTTCGCGCTGGTGGTATGTCCTGCTGCCGTGAATGTGTTTGCAGATTTTCGTGTGCTGGTAACGTGTTCCATGTTCGCTTGAAAATGTGTACTGCTGCCACGCTTCAACGTTTCTCAGTCTGAAAGAGGTGAAGGGGCCGCGGGTTATCAAGGAGCGAGTGACGGGCGTCTGTTGATCAAGATTTGTGTTTTTCTGTGCCCTTTGCTTTACCTGTGTTTGTACCTCGCTTGTTGCGATGGCAGGGCGAGTGGGGGCCGTTGAAGGAGGTGCGGGTGATCAAGGAGCGCGCCACGGGGTTCAACAAGGGCTTCTGTTTCGTCGACCTTGAGACCGTGGTGCGTCACCGCTGCGTCCTTGCCTCTCACACTTGTCACTGTAGACACAGCGCATCGTTCGTCCTTGCCTCTCACGCTGATCCTCCCCTGCTCGTTCGTGTGACTAATAATTTTAATTTCGATTCCAGCTGGTTTGAAGCCCCACTGCCGTGATTGTAACAGTGGAAGTGGCTTGGCGAAGCCCCGGTTCCTCACTTTCTCCCCTTCCCGTTTCAGAAACGAAGCTTTGCTTGCCCGTCATCACAGTGCGGTTCTGTGCGGTTGAGGCTTTCTTTCTGAGGCCGTATTCACCTCCGTGTCCCCTAGTTGGACGCGCTTTTCCCGTTCCTACCACAGTCCATCCCCTTCCGCATCCCCTTCTGCACCCCCTCATTGCGGTCCTTGCTACCGGCGCCTGGTCTATCCCTCTCCGCGCTTCACCGCCTGTGTCCCTCTCACGCCTCCCTCCCTCTCCCGCTCCTTCGTCCCTGCGTTCCCAGACGCCCCTTACCTCTCCCCGTTACCCCCCTGCTTTACCCCCCTGCTCCGTGACGCTTCCGCAGTCCCATTTGCGTCCCCCTTTCTTTTCCCGCCTTTTCCCTCCCTACTTTTCTCTCCCGTGTTTCTCGTCACTTCGACCCCACTCTCTCCCCCGAGTCCGCTTCTGCCGCCCCCTGTGTTTAAACCCGACTGCGCTTTCCCTCCCGTCTTCCCCCCCCTTTCCCCTTATCCTTTCTCATCCCCTCCTCTTTTTTCTTTCCTCCCCTTTCCCCCCTTCCCCTCTTTCGCCCCCTGCCCCTCGTCCCACATCCCAACGCCCTCCGCTTCCCAGGAGGCGGCAAAGGCGCTGGTGGAGGGTGGGAGGGCGAAGGAGCTAAAGATGGATGACCGCTTGCTCTTGTTCCACTACAGGTGGAGATTAAAGACATTAATGTCACTAAAGAGCACTCTGGTTAACGACACACTGGTCTGGCTGGGTTTGGGTTGTTGTGAGCTTATTGGACTGCTCACGCTTGCACAGACGTTGAGCACTGCCGCGTGCCAAGACTGACGCGGGCGTCGGCGCAACAGGGGGAACTCAGGACGCCGTTTTGCGTGCACGAATGGAGAGCTGGCTGACTTTCGAATGTGGAGAGTTCAAAATACCCCGCCGGTGTTTCCAAAAACCGTACCTTTTCAATAGGGGGACATTCGGTGCGAGGCACACGATCCGGGAGGCTTTAGACTGAGACTTTGGAAACTACGGAGTCTCTTGGAGGCATTTGGAGAGGCGTCAAGGCACTTGGCTCGCACGGGAGGGAGCGAGGCCCTGTTCCGGGGCTTTGACTCGGTTGTCGGAACAAACGATTTCTTGTTAAACCCCTCCCCAAACTCACACCCACGCCTCACCCTCTCAGATTGTCCCACCTGCCTAGTGCTCGCCCGAGCCATTGCTGCCATTCGTCCCCTCTCCTGCTCTGCTGCTGTCACGACTTGGGATTTGCTTCCATGCGCCCTCGCCTCACTCATCATTCCTCGCCCTCCGCCCCCCCTCTCCCCTCCCTCTCCCCCCCCTTCCCTTCCCCCCACCCCGTCTCTCCGTTTGCAACTCGTCGTGCTGCCTGCTCTCTCTTTCCCCTTCTCCTTCCCTTTCCCCGTTCTCCTTTCTGTCCCGTGTCTCCCCTGTCACCCTTCTCGACCGCGCCCTTTTCCTTGTCCCGTTCCCCTCCTCTGTTCCCCTCCCCCCCCCTCCCCTCCTCGTCGCCTCTCTGTTCCCTTCTCCCGTCGTTGTCCCTCTCTTCCTCTCTCTCCTCCCTCTCTCTCACGCAACGTCTAACAGCAAGCCACTGCAAGGAGCGGAGGACGGGGGCGCGCTTGCGGACAGCAGCTCGGGGAAGCCCCTCGACTGGGTCTGCCCCTCCTGCGGAGTCAATAACTTCGCCCGCCGCTCCGAGTGCTTCAAGGTGAGTTGTTGTTCTTGTCCGTATCTAGAGCCCCCCCCTCTGGAAACCCCTTCCAGATGTCCCTCAACTGCGTTTGTTCCTCCTGCGGTGTCAATAACTTCGCCCGCCGCTCCGAGTGCTTCAAGGTGAGTTGCTGTTCTTGTCCGTATCTAGCCCTCACCCCCCCTCTACAAACCCCTTCCAGAAGCCCCTCGACTGGGTCTGCCCCTCCTGCGCTGTTAATAACTTTGCACACCGCTCCAAGTGCTTCAAGGTGGGCTGTTCGTGTCCACCCACCCCTCTTGCAAGCCTCTTTCTTAACTGGCTCTGCGCCTCCAGCAGGGTCATTCACTTGTTTTTCTCTCCTGCTATTGCCACATGCGTTTCCTTCCCTTGAGCAGTGTGTGACCCGCAGGCCCGCCAATCCCGTCACTGTTGCTGACAGGGGCGACGTGGGAGGAGGCGAGTATGGCGGGCGAGGCAGAGGAGGAGGAGGCGAGTGGGAGGGACGAGGAGGCGGGAGGGCGGCGGCGGTTGCTGTGGCCATGGGTCCAGATGCGTCGAATGTGCTTATAGTGAGGGGGCTGGACGACAGCGTGCACGAGGAGAGCCTGAGGCAGGAGTTTTCTCAGCACGGCTCCGTGACTGTAAGTGGCGATAGTGTGACTGTAAGTGGCGATAGTGTGACTGTAAGTGGCGATAGTGTGACTGTAAGTGGCGATAGTGTGACTGTAAGTGGCGATAGTGTGACTGCAAGTGGCGATAGCGTGACTGTAAGTCGCTTTTGTTTGACTGTAAGTGGCGTTAGTGTGACTGCAAGTGGCTTTTGTGTGACTGTAAGCGTTGGCACTGCACCGAGAAGTATGATGGAGTTAGAATATGCTGGGTGGGACACAAGACGCGGATGTGGGATGTGCGAGGTCTCAAGAGTGGTTACAATTGAGGGTAGACTGTCCATTGCGAGTCAGTACGGCTAGGAGGTTGAGAAACAAATATAAACGAATACAAAAACAAAACAACAAACGTTTTCTTTTTACCAGGATCACGTACTTGGGAGTATTGGCATGAAAGTGTGTGATCTCTATTGACCGCCAATCTGCCCTTCTTTCTCCATCGTTGACTTTTTTAAACGTCTCTCAAGTCAGCAATCGCTCCATCTGCCCTTCTTTCTCCATCTTTCTGACCTCTTTCTCACCCTCCCGCCCTCTTGTTGTCTACCTGCCACCTCCTCCTTCTCTCTGCCTTTTTTTTCTCTCTTTGCCATTCCGCCTTCCCTCTCTCCCCCACGCGCCTACACCAGGACGTGCGCATGATGCGCGATAAGATCACACTCAAGTCACGCGGATTCGCCTTCGTCACTCTCGCTAATGTGAGTTCCTCTGTTGCTTCTTGTGCTGAGCATGTATTTGTCCATTACGTGTCAACTCCCTCCCCCCTCCCCCTCCCCCTCCCACTCCCACTCTCTTTTCGCGCCCACCCCTCCCCCTCTCACTCCCACCCTTTTTGCACCCACCACTCCCGCTCCCACTCCCACTCTCTCTTTTCGCGCCCACCCCTCCCGCTCCCACTCCCCCTCTTTTCGCGCCCACCCCTCCCGCTCCCACTCCCCCTCTTTTCGCGCCCACCCCTCCCGCTCCCACTCCCCCTCTTTTCGCGCCCACCCCTCCCGCTCCCACTCCCCCTCTTTTCGCGCCCACCCCTCCCGCTCCCACTCCCCCTCTTTTCGCGCCCACCCCTCCCGCTCCCACTCCCCCTCTTTCCGCGCCTACCCCTCCCTCTCCCATTCCTTCTCTTCTTCAGCCTCCCCTCCCACCCGCACTCCCCTTTTCTTTCCCCCCTTCCCTCTCGTTCTCCCTCCTTCCCTTTCATCACTCTGCATTTTCATCCCTGTCACATGCTGTGCCTGTCTCTTTCTCCTCATCCTCCCTCCCCTCCCCACAGGTCGATCAAGCCACACGCGCCATGCTCACGTGTCACAACTAGCGCCTCATCAAGGGAGGCCCGGTCATGCGAGTGGCGTATGCCCCTCACCTCATTCTCTTCCCCCACTTCCCTCCCTTGTCCTTTTCATTTTTGTTTTCCTCCAGGTGGATCAAGCCACGCGTGCCATGCTCATGTGCCACAACAAGCGGCTCTTCAAGGGAGGCCCGGTCATGCGAGTGGCGTATGCCCCTCACCTCATTCTCTTCCCCCACTTCCCTCCCTTGTCCTTTTCATTTTTGTTTTCCTCCAGGTGGATCAAGCCACGCGTGCCATGCTCACGTGCCACAACAAGCGGCTCTTCAAGGGAGGGCCGGTCATGCGAGTGGCGTATGCACGCGGCCCCAACCACGGAGTGCCCTCCACTCCACTCGCTGACGCTGCTACCGCTGCCTATGCCGCTGCCGCTGGCGGTGGCGCTGCTGAGGATACTGACGTCATGGCGCAGGTGTGTTGACTTGGGTCTGGTTTGGGTCTGGTTTGGGTCGGGTTTGGGTCTGGTTTGGGTCCAAAGGCCAAGAGAGTGGGGTTTGTTTCAAAGGGAGGGTCGGTGATGCACGCGGCCCCAACCACGGAGTGCCCTCCACGCCCCTTGCTGATGCTGCCACCGCTGCCTATGCCGCTGCCGCTGGCGGTGGCACTGCTGAGGATACTGACGTCATGGCTCAGGTGTGTGTGTGTGTGTTGGGGTTTGGCTCCTCAAGGGGTGCTCATGCGTGGTGGTTCATGTGAAAGTGTTCAGGTTAAAGGACCACGGAGTGCCCTCCACGCCCCTTGCTGATGCTGCCACCGCTGCCTACGCCGCTGCTGCTGGTGACGGTGCTGCTGAGGATACTGACTGGGGTTAGGTTTCGGGGTTTAGGCCATCCTGGGCTGGGTGGATGCCCAAGAAGTACGACGAGGGGGTAGCGGGGGCAGCAGCAGCAGCACTCACAACCTTCACACGCCTCACCTCTGTGTTCACGGCCCCCCTATCGCCTTCATTCCCCTATTCTTTCACATGGAGGCGTCTGGGTGGATGCCTAAGGAGTATGACTGGCAGTGACAGCAACCTTCACACCCTGAATATCCGTGTTTCTGCCCTCCTCTCAAAAGTTGCACCAATATCTATGTTTCTGGCCCCCTCTTCGCCTTCATTTCCCCCGTTTTCAGATGAAGGCGTCTGGGTGGATGCCCAAGGAGTACGACGAGGGGGCAGCAGGGAGCGAGCAGCAGGTGCACTCACAAGCTTCACACCCCTCACATCTTTGTTCATGGCCCCTTCATTGCCCCTTCCTTCACAGATGGAGGCGGCTGGGTGGATGCCCAAGGAGTACGACGAGGGGGCAGCAGCAACACTCACGCCCTTTATCATCGTCTGTGCTTTACCCTCCTGCTTTACCCTCCTGCTTTACCCTCCTGCTTTACCCTCCTGCTTTACCCTCCTGCTTTACCCTCCTGCTTTACCCTCCTGCTTTACCCTCCTCTCGTTTCCATTCCACAGATGGAGGCGTCTGGGTGGATGCCCAAGGAGTACGACGAGGGGGCAGCGGGGGGCGAGCAGCAGGCGCAGGCGGGCAGTGGCTTCGTGTGGGGCGAGGCGTCGGGGTATTACTACGACAGCACCACCAGCTTCTATTATGACAGCGCCTCAGGTGCGACATGGCAATGCTTTAACAGGAGGGTGACGGGGTATTACTACGACAGCACCACCAGCTTCTATTATGACAGCGCCTCAGGTGCGACATGGCAATGCTTTAACAGGAGGGTGACGGGGTATTACTACAACAGCACCACCAGCTTCTATTATGACAGCGCCTCAGGTGCGGATTGGTACAGTTGTATTAGTCGCATGCCATTGCCTCAGGTGCGGATTGGTACAGTTGTATTAGTCGCATGCCATTGCCTCAGGTGGAATTTGTAGAGTGGAGCGTGTGTGCCTGCCGCCATAAGCCATGTGCTTCGTGTGGGATGAGGCGTCGGGGTATTACTACGACAGCACCACCAGGTTCTATTACGCGCCTCAGGTGCGGTTCATGTATGGGGTCCATGTATGTGCCTATGCGCTTCTAGTGCTTCGGGTGGCAGAGTAGCTAGTAGCCAATAGCTTTGAACCTGTTACCCTCTTTGCCTCTTTCCCCCCCCACCCTTCCTCCATCCCCCATACCAGACCTCTACTACCACTCTGACTCGCGCCAGTGGTTCCGTTACGATGTTACCACCGGGGAGTACAAGCAGTGCTCGGCTGAGGAGCTGGAGGCGGCTGGTAGCGCCCCTGCCGCCATGGCTGTCGCTGCTGCCACCGCCGCGACTAAGCGCGACGCTGCCGCTGCAGCCGGTGCTGCTGCTGCTGCTGCTGCTGCTGCTGCTGCTGCTGGTGCTGGTGATGCGTTGGGGAGTGAGCCAAAAAGCGAGGGGACGGCTGAGGCAGTGGGGAAGGAGGGGCAGGCGAAGGGGGTGAAAGAGGAGCAGCAGGGGGAGAAGAGGAAGAAATCGTTTGCTGAATCCGTGGCTGCAGCTGCTGCGTCTGCGTTTCAGGCGGAGAAGGAGCGGGAGGCTGCTAGGAAGAAGCAGCAGGAGAAGGAAAAGGAAGCCGCTGCTGCCGCCGCTGCTGCCGCCGCTGCTGCCGCTGCTGCTGCTGCCAGTGCTGCTGGTGGTGCTGGTGGGGAGAGTGCTGCTGCTGCTTCTGGTGGTGCTGCTATGGAGGGCAAGATTCGGACGTATGTGCCGTCTGCCGCCCTCGCGTCTCAGGTGGCAAAAGAAGGTGAGGCGGGGCAGGTAGCGGGCGGGCAGACGGACGGGCAGGAAGACGGGCAGAAGAAAGCTGAGGGGGGTGTGAAGGAGGAGGGGAAGGATGGTGAGGGGGAGGGGAAGGGAGGTGGGAGTGGTAAGTCGTCTACTGCTTCTGCACTGGCTGCTGCTGCTGCTAAGGCGGCTCAAGCCAGGCTTGCTGCTGCTGCTATGAGTAAGGAGAGCAAGGAGAGGGATAAGGAGCGGGAGGAGAGGCAGAAGGAGCGGGAGAAGGAGCGGGAGAAGGAGCGGGAGAGGGAGAAGGAGAAGGAGAAGGATCGGAGCAAGGATAGGGAGAGGGAGAGGGAGCGGGATAGGCACAGGGATCGGGAGCGGGAGAGGGACCGGGACAGGCGCGATCGGGACCGCAGGGACAACCGGGATTACCGAGATAGGCACGACGACAGAGACAGAGACAGGGACAGAGACAGGGATAGGGATCGAGACCGGGAGAGGGAGCGTGAACGCGACAGGGAGCACAGGAGGAGGGACGAGAAGGACGGGCGTGGGCCGGAAGGAGGGGCAGGAGGAGGGGCAGGAGGGGGAGCAGGAGGGGGAGACGGTGGTGGCCCTGCTCCTCCCCAGGGGTACTCTGGGGCTCCCCCGGAGGGGTATGGGGGATACAGTCAGGCGTACGGGCAGCAGCCGCCTCCCTACGGCCAGCCTCCCCCTTACAGCCAGTACCCCCCGCCACAACCAGGCCCGTATGGGGCACCATATGGGCAGGAGCAGCAGCAGCAGCAGCAGCAGCAGCCGCCGCCAGCTTATGGGCAGCAGCAGCAGCCGTACAACCCGTCGCCGCAGCAGCAGCAGCAGCAAGCGCAGGGCCAGTATGCCCCTCCCGCCACTGCTCCTGCTGCTGCGCTGGCTTATCCCTCTGCGGCGCCTACCTACTCACCTGCACCGAGTTACCCCCCATCTACTGGTTACATGGGTTACCAGCCTCCGCCATACGACCCGTATTCAGCTGCTGGTGGTGCCACTGCCCCTGCTGGCTCTGCTGTTAATGCCGCTCCTGCTGGTGCAAGTGTTGGGGCTGGTGCTGCTGCTGCTGCTGCTGCTGGTGCTGGCCCTGCTGGTGCTGGCCCTTCTCCTCCTGCTCCTATGCCTCCCACCACCGCTCCTTCCTCCTCCTCTGCTGCTCCTCCCCCCCTCTCTTCGCCCTACAACCCGTACTCTCTAGCTCCCTCCTCTGCTCCCCCGGTCGCCCCTTCCTCTGCCGCTCCTCTCACCGCCTCTTCTGCACCCCCCTCCTCGTACGATCCCTTCGCAGCTGCTGCGAGCATGGGGGGAGGAGCTGCGGGAGCGGGGGGAGCAGGGGGAGCGGGGGGAGCGGCGGGGGACGGTGCGTATGACCCCATTGCTGCAGCGATGGAGGCGGGGGGAGGGATGCCGGATTGGGTCACTGCGCCCATACCTGCTGCTGCTTCTCCTGCTGGAGGTGAGGCAGTTGCTGCTGTTGAAGGTGAGATAGGTGCAGCGCTGGAGGCGGGGGGAGGGATGCCGGACTGGGTCACTGCGCCCATACCTGCTGCTCCTGCTCCTGCTGGAGGTGAGGCAGTTGCTGCTGTTGAAGGTGAGATAGGTGCAGCGCTGGAGGCGGGGGGAGGGATGCCGGATTGGGTCACTGCGCCCATACCTGCTGCTGCTGCTCCTGCTGGAGGTGAGGCAGTTGCTGCTGTTGAAGGTGAGATAGGTGCAGCGCTGGAGGCGGGGGGAGGGATGCCGGATTGGGTCACTGCGCCCATACCTGCTGCTGCTGCTCCTGCTGGAGGTGAGGCAGTTGCTGCTGTTGAAGGTGAGATAGGTGCAGCGCTGGAGGCGGGGGAAGGAATGCCGGACTGGGTGACTACTCCCGTGCGTGTGCCTACTGCTCCCGCTCCTGGCGGAGGTGACATTGCTGCTTCTGTTGCCGCTCCTCTTGCTGCGCCTATCGTTGCTCCTCGTGTGGCTGCTCTTGTTACTCGTCCTGTTGCTGCTTGATTTCGTGTATCTGTTTTCTAGACTGACGCAGCTTCTGCACCTGTCGCTGCTGCCACTGCTGATGGTGCTGCTGGTGGTGCTGCTGGTGGTGCTGCTGGTGGTGCTGCTGGTGGCGCTGGTGGTGGTGCTGCTGGTGGCGCTGGTGGTGGTGCTGCTGGTGGTGCTGCTGCTGGTCCTTCCAGCCACATCTGCCCTTTCAACTTCCGCTAATCACCCCCACCCTATCACACACCCTTCTGTGCCTCCCCCCTTCCTCTCCCTGTCCTGCCCTGCTTGCCTCTGCAGCCCCGGCTCCTCTGCCATACTCGCCTGGCCTCCTGCCGCGCCCTGCTCCTTCCTGGCAGCCACCCCCACCACCCAACTACTAGCCATGTCGTTGGGGGTAAAACGCCTGATCGCTGTTTCTGAAGCGCCTCAGAATAGGCTTCTGCCGCGCCCTACTCCTGCCTGGCAGCCACCCCCACCTCCCAACTACTAGCTGTGTGCCGTTTGGGGGCCGGCTGGGGCAGGTAGTAGAGCAAGGGCCTGAGCGTGTGGCAGCTGCTGGCGCTGTTGCTGCCATCACATCACCACCGATGCCTAATACTTTTGCCACTTGGCACTGCCATTTGGCACTGCCACTTGGCACTGCCACTTGGCACTGCCAGTCGGTGCTGTCGTCACAGCTGTGTGGCCGTTACAAGGGCAGTGAGCTTGCTTCGTCGCTCCTCAACCAGGTGTTTTCAGTGCTGGTGTGGTGGTGGCTCTCGCTAGTGGCGATTGGAAGTGTTTTTCCCGAGGCTGGTGGATATGGGATTTTGCATGCATTGCATTGCACCCATTCTCGGTGGTGTTCCAGACCGTTGGGGAAAGTAGACCGTATTGAAGCGATTTGTGGTCTCAGTTTTTAGTTTGACTCAGAAATGTCTTTGACCTGTTTCTCTCGAAGCGAATGATCCATTTTACATTGAAACATATATGTTATTTTACCTCGTGAACTTTCTGTAACAATGGATCTGAATTGCGACATGTCGCTTCGCGAAACCTTAAAGCTCCGGTATACATTTGAAAGTAGGGTTTCAAAATCCTTAGGAACTTGAAAAGTTGCCCCAAAACTGAGGCACAATGTAAAACCCTGAACCTCACTGACAAATGTATACTTGACCCCAAACCTCAAGGCCTGACCCCAGAACCAGCAGGATCGTCGTGTCACACATACAGTCCCGCAGACGTCCAGTAGAAAGGTTGTAAGTCGAATCGCCAGGCATAAAATACTACTTACTTCGAGCGCAAAAGCCGCAGCGGATCAGAAGCGGCACAGTTTGTTTTCCGTGATTAACAGAGGTTCATTGTGCGAGAATTATCGTCAGTTGTCGCAAGCACGTCGGGAGCATACGACTGAAAATAAGGCGTGTGAAATATGTCAGGCGCCTAGAATAGAACGAGACGGCTATTATTGCTCGCCGTGCATTATCATTCGCTGTCACGTGGACGTGAAACCCGCATAAACTTACGATTCTTGAGAATTCTTGGGATTACATCTTTGTTTTATTCGACGACGGAACAGCAACGTCATGTCGTCGATATTAACAACTCCCCGTCGGCGCAAGCATGAAGAAGCCTCTTTCCCCGTCTTCAGCTGCGCGAGGCGGAGGTGGAGGGGGAAGAGGCGGAAGCGCGAGGGGGCGAGGGGGAAGCGGAAGGGGGGGAGGCGGAAAGGGAAGGGGAGGCGGCGGAGTGTTGCGGCTAGGCGTGTTGGAGAAGTATGTTCCGCGCGCGGACGGGGGAGTGCGGAAGGGGTTCCGCGGGCGGAAGAGATATATGGCGCCGCAGCGGACGCATCTTTCCGCCAACGAGCTCCGTGCGTTGCATTCCCCCGCCGCCCTTTCCCTCCTTCCCGGTCCTCGCCTCCGCTTCTTCCCCCTTCCCCCGTATCCCTTGTCCCCTTCCTCCGCATCCCCTGTCCCCTTCCCTCGCATCCCCTCCCCCCTTCCCCCCCATCCCCTCTCCCCTTCCCCCACATCCCCTGCCCCCTTCCCCCGTACCCCCTTCCCCTTCCCCCACTTCGCTGTCCCCTTCCCCAGCCTCCCCTGCCCAAACCCCCCGCATCCCCTGCCTGCCCCCTTCCCCCGCATCCACTGCCCCCTTCCCCGCTTCCCCTGCCCCCTTCCCTCGCACCCCCTTCCCTATTCTGGTCAAGACAGACGACTTAGGCGACCTGATTTTGCCGTTTCAAGTACGTACCACGAAGGATTCAACAATTCAACAAAGTGTTGTGCCTCCTGCCCTTTGTTTCAACCATTTGCATTCCCTAGTGTGCAAAGGCTCTCAACCAAGAAACATTGAACGCTGTACCCTATCCCCTCTGGTTGGCTGTTGAGATGTCTCAAAAAGTGTGCACAGACTTTCAACTCAAAAGCCCTGAACCCTGAACTGCATCCGCTCTTGTCGGCAGGGAAACGACGAAAGGTGCTAAACGATGCGAGAACTGTGCAGAAATACCGGAAGATGATTGGGCGGGAGAGAAAAGCGTCAGGAACCGACCGGATGAGCGGATTGGTGGGTGGTGATGGGAGGACGGAAGAGGAGGAAAAACAGGGGGAAGGGGAAGAGGAGGAGGAGGAAGAGGAAGTAGAGGGGGAGGATGGGGAAGAGGAGAATGAGGAGGAAGAGGAGGAGGAGGAAGAGGAGGAGGAAGGAGCAGGGCTAGAGGACCAAGAGGTTGGTGGCCTGGGAATGGGATCAAAACGGGAGGAGGGCGCACAGGAGTGGGAGAGGGGCGGTGTAAGCAATGGAAGGGGACGAGGCCGGGGACTGGGAGGTGGAAGGGGAGGAGAAAGAGGGGTGGCGGGTGAAAATGCGAGGGGTGTTGAGGGTGGGAGAGGAGGAGGAGAGGGTGTGAGGCAGAGGCCGTTGAATCGGCTGGAAAGGATATGGAAGAAGCGAGAGGAGGAGGCTGCAAGGCAGGCGGCAGAGAGGGAGGCGAAGAGGAGGGAGATGGAGGAGGGGAGGAGGAAGAGGGAGGAGGTGGAGAGGAGGAGGAGGGAGTTGAGAGGGCAGATGAGGAAGAGGACGAAGAGTGGGCAGGTGGTGATGAAAGTGAGGATGGAGCATCTGCTGGAGTCGATTCAACGCAGTCAGGGGAAATAGTTGGGGTACAATACAATCTTACTGCGCAAACAACGATTAACAAAATATGAGAAATGGTGGGTATCGTTTCTGCTATAGCCCGTACTGTGTCACGAGAGCATCAGAGAAATCAGAGGTGGCACGCTGATCTATTGCTGGGAAATAACTTCGTAGAATGGGGCCGGCAATGTATTGAGGATTTTTTTTATCAGCTATGTAGGCATGTTGCTATATTGTGAAGCAAAAAACTACGAAGTGTGACTTGTGCTGAAAACTGACTGGATGCTAATACACTGGCATCATCTGGGACGTCCTATAACGAGTAGATTGACCCCAGTCTCCCTGCACACTGGGGACCTCATTTCATGCTTTCACCAATCAGCACGCGACACATGGTTTGAAAGACAGTCCAATTCCATCACAAAGATCATCAGGGTGTCAGACATACTAGTCCACTTGTAAGTGTCGACAAGTTCGACACACCCCAAAAGTACTTTACAGTAAAGTACGGTACAGTTTGAGTCTTGTGGGAAAGCTAGGTCTGGGGAGAGAGTGTGCAGTACACATGATGCTCAACCCCTGCGCGCGAATTTTCTGTTCCTATTGAAAAGTCTGCACTCGAGTTTACGGCAGCTAGTTGCACTCACTTCACAAGCCCCTTGAGCAAGTTGCAAAGATTATGAACCAATACTAACCACAGAAACCGATGTCACACTGGGGAGACCGAAGTCAAAATGTCAACGGGGAGTTTATAAGCCCCGTTTTGCTAGGTCCGAACCGAATTCACGAAACCGTTCCGTTATGCAAGAATCACACAAACGCCTAGCGAGTATGACAACACTGGTCTCCTCAAACGAGCATCAGGTGTACAGTACATGAACAAAGCCTCCAAGAGAGTTTGACCTCAGCCGTGTTGTGCTCTTTCGAGTTTTGATTCTAGCCTGCTCCAGGACCTGCGGCTCGAGACAGGACTAGGTGGAATTCAGCTGGGTTCCACTCGGTTTAAAATAACTGTGGAGTCTCCATCAGGGCGTGTCATTTTCGTTCCTTTTCGATTGACTGTGAGAGGTACATGCTGGTGCGCAATGGTCTACAACGGTGAAAAACAGAAAAGCGTTCGTAAACGCAATAAACCGTATTAAACCACGTCAACCGAAATAGTGTGACCTACCTCAGCCGTGTTCGTTTTCGTTGTCAATCAAGCTAGCCCATCAAGCGTTCTGTTCTTGTTTCTTCCCACACAGTACCATTCTGCCAACCACTAGCAGTTTGCCCCCCAAATCGGCCACTGGGAGAGTGAGTAGTAGTCAAGCAGATTAGACGATTTTTTGGGGTCAAGGGATCAGTTGATGCTCGTTCCGTAGACATGGAAAGAGACGACTCTTAGGAGCAGACTGCTCTCTTATAGGAGCAGACGTGCAAGCTTTACATAGAGCATGTAAAGAAGATAGAGAACGTGCAAGCTTTACACTGTGTCGCATCGTGAAGTAGACAGTTTACAGCAAGGAGAAGCTTTGCCGGCCTCATCGCACGTTTTGTGGCATTCACGCTAGTCTTTGACGACCTTTTGCCATCAGCTGCCGTTCATCCGATGGGATAAGCGAGACCTCACCGCACTGATATAAACATGTCGTTCTTTTCGCAGTGGTCATTCTCATCTGCAACTTTTTTTTCCATGCCAAAAGACGCAGGCAAGAAGTCACTCACATTTCCAACCCTTCTTCGCCACGTCTGATCATCACCGCAATCCTTAAGCGATAATCGACCTCGTCGCAGAAGCGCGTGACCCTGGATCCGCTCGACGCGGCATGATGCTGACATTTTTTCACCATAACCGACGTCTCGGACGTAACCCCGCCGTCGCAACCGCTCCTGCAGCAATAGCCGTGCGATCCATCATCGCGCTCCTGCTCTTCATCATCCAGCACGTCGATTGCGTTCGCGTCGAGAAAAGCCAAGATGGCATCTTGGTTAAAGCCCCGCGGATCCGCGTGCATAACGTGGTCCCCTGCGCGGATCGATCAGGGAACATGATCACGAGCAACATCGCCAGTAGCGCCGAGCCCGCCGCCGCCACCGCCGCCGCTGATGCCGTCGGTAGCGGCGAGAAAGGCGGGAAAACCGGCGAGGATGACGGGAATGATTGTGTGATCAAGGCGCACCACGCGGGAATGCTTCGCCCGCATCCCGCGTTTGTCCGCCTGCACCGAGCAGCCGTGCGGAAGGCGCTGGATGCAGCCAGGCGGAAACCGAAGGAAGATCCGCGCGCGCTTCCCCCGCATCGGCGGAGAGTAAGGGGCGCGGAGGACCTGAACTTGCGCTCGGCGGAGGATCTGAACTCTTTGGTGTTCGTTCAAGTGGTGGCGGACGATTCGTCCGACGAGAAGCGGCCGGGAGAAAGCGCAACATCTTCTGAGTCGAAGATTTGAATTCTCCGGCACTGCCAGCAGCAACACTGTCAGACGAACCAATATCAGAAGACTGCTGCTAATAATAAGGGCATCGACAACTGCCATGTGCACATACAGGGGACGACCAATTTTACTTGTAGAGGAGGGCAGCGGAAACGGGTTCCTCGGCCGTGGAAATGGGTTCCTCGATCGTGGAAACGGGAAGCAGGGGTGGGGCGTGAACGAGGGAGGAAGCAAAGAAGAGTACACGGGTTTCTCAACTTCAAGTTTCATGGCCGCTTCTTTTTTAATCAACGATTGTGAAGGTGGTAAGGACGGATATCAGAAGTATCAGACCTACTGATGACGCTAAGCGGGACTGAGACGGACGGGACCCGGCGGTGAAGTGCCACCGGAGGTGACGATTTGAGCGGTAAACATAGAGTTCTTCTGTTACTGCTGTATGTAGGATATGCATTAGTTCGTATGAGGTGGGCTGTGATTGCCTAATAAAGTGGGTGTTTGTATGTGGTACGGTTTGCACTTGTTTTTGCTTGTTCACATTGCGCCCATGAAGCGTTGTAACTCCATTTCACAAGGTCCACTGTGCCTCACAAGAGCGCAGCACAAGAAACACTGGTGAACCAGCGTTGTGAGCGTGCGCCTCACAAGAAACACTGGTAAACCAGCGCAGCACTAGTTTCCAGCTCCTTGGGCCCGTGTTGCGTACCAAGGACCGCCTTGGTGCGCAGCGCAATGGTGCGATGCGGTGCACCAGGTTTGAAAGCTTCTGGAAGGCCACGGAGTGCAATAGCCTCATCGTCGAGCATGATACTCACGTTACGATGCTTCTCCCTGCTTCTCTCTCTCCGTTACAAGGAGAAGCAGGGAGTAGAAACGGTTGTGCTCCGCACGCAGTTACATTCGTGAACACCTTTTCCCCACCACTTCCTGACTCAAGAAACAGAAGGACTGCAGCGGACTGGATTGATAGCGATGCAACATTTGCTCCTCCTCACAGCCCAAGCAGGCCGTGTAATTTTCCTCCCCTGCGTGTAATACACCACCTAGCCCGCGCTAACTTCACCGGCGGTATCTTCACCAGCTGGGGGTACTTTTCCGCGGTCAAGCTAGTTTATTAAGGTAGTTTCGGATTCAGAGGGGGTAGACTCATGCATACCCTCACCAGTTGAAGAAAAGTAGGAACTTGTTAAAAGCCAATTCCTGCCCTTCTCTCAGATCACTAGGTACGAGTGCATTAGACAGAAATGAATTATGGCTGTGTACTGTTAGCCCCGCAGTCCCGGGTGACCGTCTCATTAGACGGAAACGCATAATGGGGGCCTGAAAGAAAAACGTTCAGCCGGTGAAGATACCGCGGGCTAGGTGTATTGCTTGACGGTACAGTACTAAAACAGAGGTACAGTATCTCTAATGCTGGACCTTGGGCGGGCTCTGGCCATTCCAATGGCCCAATTGACGGGTCGCGACTTGCGAGTCGCGATACATTTCAGACGCCTTTGTTCACATTTGCGATGCGGCTAGTCAATTTCTTGAACTCTGAACTTTCAGATTTCCGTTGGGGTCTTGGCGCCAAGATTTTCGACCACTCGCTGGTAAAGCGACAACCGCAAATTGGTTTCGCGAATGGTGTGTGGCAGCCAGTTGCGTCGCGAAATCAAATGCTCGTGAAAACAGCTACGTGTTTTCGTGTTGATCTACCCCGTTAACTTCCAGAAAGTGGTTTCTTCGCCTACTACCGTATTATCTCGTAACATGACTAGTGCATAACTTGATATGATCAGGATCTCCTTGGAAAATGCACAGCATCATCTACTAGACAGATACATGAACTCAGCTACGGGTATGCCTAAAAGAGCATTGATGAAGAGTCAGCACCTCAGAGCAAACCATAAGAGAACGGGGACACTAACAAAATTAAGAGGTTAGATCTACAATCCGACCCAGTATGAGCGGCCGTTAGGGTTGTGAACGGGCGACATGGAAGGTGCGGTGACTGCCCATTCATACCACACCTGTTCCGGGATTACGGGGCAAGGAGATAGAACCCCGGGCACACAGAGCAATACAGGGGACAGAGAGAGAGGGAGGGTGCGAGGGGGGAGGGAGATGGAGGGGGCGAGAAAAAGGGAGGGAAAGAAATAACAGAGAGGATTGTTGAGTGTACCCTAGTGTCTTCAGGCTTTACACGCCTTGATATCTAATGATTCGGGACCAGCACATGATTATGAGAAACCAAATTAGAATCACCTAAGCGGAACCAACCCACACGTGTACAATACCTGATAGAAGACCAGTCATTCATATCACACCAGTGGGCCCAACTTACGAACGGTGCCTGATAGAGGAACATACCTTGGTGGGCCCAACGCATCGCCAGAAAATGACTTTTGAGTCGACTCAAAAGCCAACCTACGAACGGTGCCTGATAGAGGAACATACCTTGGTTGGTCCAACGCATCGCCAAAAGTGCACTTCTAGCTTCTCCCCTGCTGGCACGTATACGGGGAAGCGTAGAGGGAAGAATATGGGGAACCTGGGGGAGGGAGGAAGGGGAGAACGGGGATGGAGTGCGGGTGAGGAAGGCAAAGGGGACGGAAGAGCAGTGAGCAGCAGAAGTGCACTTCTAGCCTCTCCCCCGCTGGCACGTACACAGGGAAGCGCAGTGGGAAGAATATGGGGAACCTGCGGGGGTAGGGGGAGGGGAGGGGGGCACAGAGAGGAAAAGAGCCGATGCGGAAGGAAGGGGGAGCAGTGAGCAGCAGAAGTGCACTTGAAGCTTCTCCCCCACCCGCATGTACACAGGGAAGCGCAGCGGGGAGGATATGGGGAACCTGCAAGAGGGGGGGGTGGGGGGGGGTGCGGATGAGGATGGGCAAATGACTGGGGAGAGCAGTGAGCAGCAGAAGTGCACTTGAACCTTCTCCCCCAGCCGCATGTACACAGGGAAGCGCAGTGGGGAGGATATGGGGAACCTGGAAGGGTGAGGGAGGCGAGAGAGAGGAGAAGGGATGGCGAAAGAACAAACTGGTAGGGGGGATGGTAAGGGCAGTCAAGAGAAGAAAAGTGCTTTTAGCACAAAGAAGCGCAGCGGGGAGAATTTGGGGAACTTTAAATGGGGAAAGTGCTTTAAATGGGGGGGAAGGGGGGGGGAGGGAAGGGTGGGAGCAAAATGATGGGAAATGTTGGCAAAGGTAAGGAGTGGCTAGGGTGGGGGATGAACACAGTGAGAGTGGAAAAATGCTTTTTGAGGGAGTCCAGAAAACGAGAGTGAAGAAGTGAGGTAGAGGCGGATAGGGTGGTGGGTGAAGAATGCAAGTTCAGAGGAAAGACTTTTAAAGCGGCTCAGCTTGAGAGTGAACGAATGTTGGTTGAAATAAGGATTGGGAGTGTATTGTAAGCATGACTGGAGAGGAGGTAGGTACCGAAAAGGAAAGAGGAAAGTACCCGAGGTTGACAGATGGACACAGATGGACACAGATGGACACAGATGGACACAGATTTCGTAGCTGTGGAGGGTTTGATGCCCAAACGCACAGAGAAAATACGACAAGGGGGCCAGTATCACCAGAAACCGTGTAATGAAGAGAATCAAAGCTCTTGTAATGAAGAGAATCAAAGCTCTTGTAATGAAGAGAATCAAAGCTCACCAGCTGAACATGGAGGGCGTGGCTGTGGAGGGCTCGATGCCCAGATGCACGTCACCATACAGCACCGCATCAAAATACCCTCCAAAGCCTGCAGGTGTTATGGAGGGAGGGAGGGAGGGAGGAAGGAGGGGAAGTAGGGACAGTGTTTGAGACACCTCTAAACCCCATTCGATGCCCAGATGCACGTCACCGTACAGCACCGCATCAAAATACCCTCCAAAGCCTGCAGGTGTTATTGAGGGAGGGAGGGAGGGAGGGAGGAAGGAGGGGAAGTGGGGACAGTGTTGACACCTCTAAACCCCATTCGATGCCCAGATGCACGTCACCGTACAGCACCGCATCAAAATACCCTCCAAACCCTGAGGGAGGGAGGGAGGGAAGGGAGGGAGGGAGGGAGGGAGGGAGGGAGGGAGGGAGGGAGGGAGGGAGGGAGGGAGGGAGGGAGGGAGGGAGGGAGGGAGGGAGGGAGGGAGGGAGGGAGGGAGGGAGGGAGGGAGGGAGGGAGGGAAGGGAGGGAGGGAAGGGAGGGAGGGAGGGAGGGAGGGAGGGAGGGAGGGAGGGAGGGAGGGAGGGAGGGAAGGGAGGGAGGGATGGAGGGAGGGAGGGAGGGAAGGGAGGGAAGGGAGGGAAGGGAGTGAGGGAGGGAGGGAGGGAGGGAGGGAGGGAGGGAGGGAGGGAGGGAGGGAGGAGGGAGGGAGGGAGGGAGGGAGGGAGGGAGGGAGGGAGGGAGGGAGGGAGGGAGGGAGGGAGGGAGGGCGGGAGGGAGGGAGGGAGGGAGGGAGGGAGGGAGGGAGGGAGGGAGGGAGGGAGGGAGGGAGGGAGGGAGGAGCGGAGATGGGGGCAATGTGCGAGGGGCATCAAGACTCAGTTCGATGCTGAGAAATGCACGTATTGAGGCCATACAGCACAGCATCATGGTATTGCCCGAACCGAACCCTGCCGAACCCTGCCGAACCCTGCCGAACCCTGCCGAACCCTGCAGGGATTGAGAAAAGATGGAGGATGGGAGGAGAGGACGGGAGGTAGGGTGGGTAGTTTAGCCCAAAGACGCAGGTCTGCACAGATGAGAGAAAGAATTTACTTCAATAATCCAAACGTCTATGCTACACACCGTACATCCCACACTTTGGAGAATGAGGTGACTTTGAGTCGACTCAAAAGGTGACTTTTGAGGTGACTTTTGAGTCGAGGTGACTTTTGAGTCTACTCATTAATCCAAACTCCTATGGTACACACCGTACATCCCACACTTTGGAGAATGAGAGGACCTCGTGCCAACCGTACACACCGTACATCCCAGATCAGAAAGCAGGCGCCTTGTATGATGCATCTGGTTTCTTGAAGCTGCTCGGATAGCATAGCTCACAC